CTCCGGTTCAGTCCCCCAAAGCTGTGTGTTGGGATCTGTAAATTGGTGGTAAAACAGGCCTCGATCCTTTTCCAGAAATAAGTTTCTTCAAACTGAGATTCTTTAGACATGGATCAAGTTGCTAAGTTACTGCATTTAAGAAGCAAAAGTGCATAGACCTTGCATGTGCCCATCCCAGGTAGCAAGCTGTGTATTTAATATTTTTATCTTGTTGTTCTAGTTCTCTTGTAAATGAGCAAGGTTCAAAAGACCCGGTCAATCTTTGAGCATGTGTCCACACAGACCCCACTGTACATGTGTGCTCCCATGCACGTGAGTGTCTTAGCCAGCAGTGTCTGTTGGTGCTGTGCACGTCACCTATGCACTTATGGGGTGTGCGGTTGTGCAGCGATCATAGCAGCCCCAATCATTCCCTGCCACACATGGTAGATAGTCAGAGCCTGTGTCTCCTTTTGTGGATAGGAGTAGGATTTTATGGTATACTATAAAAATACTTTTGAGTCTCCCATTGGTACTTAGAAGTAAGGATGAGGGCTGAGAATAGGTCTGCCTGCCTTCCTGCGAGCCAGTTATGCCTATGAAATGCCTGTTTTGTTTTGAGGCATCTTCTGTCTTAAACACTCTGTTGGTAACTGTTTCTTTGAAGTGCATTCAGAGGTTCATAATGCCGCCTTGAAGCTGTTTCTGGTGGAAAAGATGAGAAGAGCTTCTGACTCCAAGGATCTTTCTCAGAAGCTGACTGCTCCTGCCTCAGAGCTGGCTTCAGCTAGGGCTCTGGCTACAAGAGATGCTACTTTGGGTGCTAAGTGGTCTGGCTGTAAAAGATGTCCTGTTCTGTTGTAACACTGAGCCTTTTCATCAGTCTTCTTCAGGTCCGTGGCTACTCCAGCCCAAGCTAGGAAGGGGCGCAAAAAAAAAAAATCTCTGGATGGGCCTTGGCACCAATAGCTGTCCTCATTCTCAGCCGAGAGAGACACTCAGCTTCATTATGCCTCTGACTTACCCAAGCCCGCTCCTTTGAATTTGTATCTGTACTGTGGGATCCCATTTTTCAGCTGCTAGATCGCGTCCTTTGTCTTTGCTGACTGACAGTGCTTTCTTGCTACTGCTGACATTGATACTATTTGTCACAACACTGCTGCAGCCTGAAATGAAGACCTCATTTACTGAGACTCTTATTGGTATGGCCATTCACAGTAGCGTTGACATCAGTACTGCCCAAGCTTTCTTTGTCTCTTGTAGATTTAACATGACTCTGAAATAGAAGTACTCTGCCAGATATCTCTTCTTTATACGTGGTATTCAGCTCCCTGCTGGTCTTGGAAACACGGGTTTGGATGCTGTGATATTGTTGCTCGTCTCATAGTACAATGTCTGAATCTGTTCCTGTTTCTACTCCTTAAGAGACTATCTACTTTAGTAGAACTATATTCATCTGCATGGTAACTTTTGTATGGTAGCAGAGACCTTCCTATGAACAAATCTTTTCCTTTGCCTAAAACAGTTCTTGACAGAAGCCTGGAAAGGAACCTCTTTAGTCACAGAGCTCCTTTTTAGAGAGATTTCCGGTTCCATACTACACATTCTGGGGCACAGTACAGGGTGTAGCTTTGGCTCTGTTGGCCTGTATGAACCTCTCAGCTTTACTCCTTTTTATTCAGCTACGTTGAGATGTAGAGGAAGATCACTTGGCCCTAATATTCATCTAAGGTGGCTCTTTCTCCCCAAGAGCTCTTTCAGAGTTATGAGCAAGAACCCCATAATGAGGAAGGTCACCTTGAGGAGTGGCAGTTTCCCCAGCCATATCGTCATTGTCCTGGGTGAAGCTGGGACTCCATCTGTCCTCTCCACAGTAGGCTCTTTCAGAGCGCACACAGACTTCCTTTAAAGAATGGTGGACACCTCTGGACATTCCTAGAAGTCCTCCTGGAGAGGTTTCAGGACTTTATACCCAGTATTCCAGGTTTGCTTGGTTATGTCTCTTAACCAAGGATTTGTGGCAGAATCTGGCATCTATATGGGCACTTCAGGTCCGTAACAGAAGAGTGTAAACATTTTTCTCAGCAGTCCCATTCAGAGACCTCTTCAGCCCGTGGAATCTTCTGTGCCATCTATCTTGGACTAATTGGTTTTGGAACACGTGATTGCTTAACTCTAATAGATGGATATAGTAGCCAGATGAACTATCACTCAACTGTTGAAGGTTATTCAGTTCCTTCCCCTCACCCAGTGGTATCTTTAAGGGCCCAATTCATACATTTTCATCAGCGAGGCATTGCTACCTATCTGGGACTTGAATGTGGTACTCCTCTTGTACGTGCCTGCTCTTTGAACCTACGTTATCTATCTCCTATATCACCTCTCTATTCAAATGCCATCAGCTTGGCTCGCCGGAGGGAAATTTCAGACTTTGTCAATTCCTCCATAATTCTTTCATAAAGAGAGACTCAAGCCATATTGAAAACTTTTGTGGAAAGTGGTTTTGGATTTTCCTATAAACTGATTTATACCCACACTTTCCCTAAACCACACGTTTCTGCTGCCGAGGCTAAACTCCATAAACTAGACATTCTTAGGGCTGTGCTTTTATCTCTCCAGTACAAAGCCATTTCATAAAGCATCTTGGCTCTGTTTTTGTGAGAAGTCTCAAGGGCAAGCTGTTTCTCTCAAAGATAGCTAAATGGGATAGACAGCATAAGATTTCTTACTCCATTAAATAAACTGCTTCTTCCTTCTCGAGTTAGGGCACACCCTGGTAGGCTCAGTCAACATCAGTGGCTTGTTTACATGACCCTCTATTTTAGACATGTATGGCAATTATTTGGAGTCTGTTACATATATACATCTATTAGTACTCCATTGGGATAGCTTCTAGATGGACAGTCCTTCCAAGCTGCCTTACAGTCATTATTTAGCTGTTCCTCAAGGTGGACTGTGGGAGTGGTAACTGTTAGTCACTCGTCTACAGTGTGTGGACAGATGTTTGAAGGAAAAAGGTTACTTAATTGTCCGTATCTGCAATTCTCCAAGATGGTTTTGTCCACCCATATCCTGTGATCTGCCCCTGCTGCCTGGATATTCTGTATTAGTGAAGAAAGTGTGTGGTGGTTGGGGCTGCTTTGCCTTTGACTGGGGACATAAGAGCAAATGGCGAATGCACGGCACTAATGAATGCTGCTTGTGTGTACATCTGCTTTTGTCTACGTAAATCTCATTACAGTCTCAAAAGTCCAGTTTCTGTGTGCGACCATTCTTTTGCCCTTATGTTGCTGACCATTCTGAAAGTGATAAATAGCTTAGCCCTCTGTAAAGAAAATTGTAGATTGACCCTCTGTAGAGGTCATGAAAGCATCTGGTATAACTTTTGAAAACATAGGTAAGAATCTGTTAAAGAATGCACATGGTGTCTAGCTTGAATGGCTTGTATTGAGACTCTGTGCCTCTACAGTTACCGAGGAGAAAAAGTCCTTGAAGCGGACGTTTCAGCAGATACAAGAGGAAGAAGATGAGGATTATCCTGGGAGCTACTCGCCCCAGGACCCCAGCACTGGGCCATTATTGGTACGTGTGGAAGTCGGAAGATCTGACAAATTGCAAAAGGTGACCTCTGGTAAAGATACAACCACAAGGTGGAGCTATTAACAAGTAAAATGTAATTAATGGAGATACACAACTTGGGCTTGGGAAGCCACTGTGTAATACTACGTGGTGGTTTAGTGCAACTGTTCTGTGTTTGGTGGTGGGCAAGAGGAAGGCATCATAGATGCGTGGTGGTGTGAATGCTGTTCCAGTAGTTACCGTTACCCCTACCCCTACCCCTAAAACCATGGATTGCTCTGATCTTACTCTAGACTGAACCAAGGCTCCTGCGTGACTGCCAATGTGTTAGAAGAAACAAATTATATAAAAAGCTTTTTAAAAATATAAGACTGGTGCATTTACTTTCAAATCTAGTGCACTAACACTGATTCAAGAAGTTTAGTTTGGGGGGTTTCAGGTAGAATGCAGCCTGCCAAAGAAACCAATAGCAAGTTTGGTATACCCGGTATGTGCAAAAGAGCAACATTTTAATGGATTTCTATGGCAACATTTTAGAAGAATTTAAACTTTAGTTTGAGACTGGCTGGAGTCTAGTGTTAATGATATGGAATATAATCTAAACTCTCCTCTTTAAGGTTACAATTCGCCTTATGTTAAATCTGCTGCTATTTGAAGGAAGGTGAAGAGTTAAGCAGTCTGCCAGATGGGTGGTGTAAATACTACAAAATTACATGAGCCGAGAAAATGAGCTTTTACTGCAGATAGTTTACAGCTTTTGGCTTGTCTTAACACACGTTTAATTTGTCACTTATTGGAAATCATTATGTAGCTTACAAGGAAGTAATATGTCAAGCAGACAGTGAACATCTTTTGGTTCTTCAAATCAGCTCAAATATTGAAAGGATATGTTTTCTTAAGAAATGTGTGTAACTTTGTAATTTTTGAATGTGAACCTAAAACAATTACTGAAACTGGAAGATAAGTCAGCACTACAAAATTAGGCTAGCTAATGCCAGCACAAGCATTAACTTCTTGAACACTTAAACCCCAAAAAACAAAAACAAAAAAACCTTGAACATTTGTGTTTTTTCCTGCTTAATCTTTCTCCCCTTCTCCCTTTTTTGGGGCACCTATTAAAAATGCTTCTATCACCCAGATTCTCCTTCTGACTTGATTAATAAAAGCAATATGGGTATGTTCACTTGCATTGGAGGAGCTTTCTCAGCAAGGATTCCATTTGATTAACATTAGAGAGGGGAAAGGTTCACCTATGAGCATCGCCCTTAATAGGTAATGCTTTCCAGTTACGGTTAATTGGTGGGGGCTGGAGCAGCTCCCTGTCTGCTGCAGTCAGGTGGCTGCTCCAGCCCCATGGAGCCCCTGTGGACAGGGGCTGCTCCAGATATCCAGAGCAGCTCCTGTACATGGTGGGCCTGAGTGCGTCACAGGCAGGGGCTGCTCTGGCCACCATTGGCTAGAATGCCGCCACCCCCGTCTCCTCCCCCTGCTGCCTGCTCCCCCTTTCATTGGTTAACTGGTTAAATGTTACATTTAACCAGTTAACCAATTAACTAGGGATGTAAAATCCCATTTAACATGAGAACAATCATACTGGATCAGACCAAAGGTCCATCTAGCCCAGTGTCCTGTCTTCCGACAGTAGCAAATGCCTGGTGCTCCAAAAAATTGAGCAAAACAGATAATCAAGTGATCCATCCTCTGTCCCTAGCTTCTGACAGACTAGGGACACTATCTTTGCCCATCCTGTCTAATTGGTTTACCTATCCTCCGTGAATGTATCTAGTTCTTTTTTGAACCCAACATCCTTTGGCAATGAGTTCCAGAGGTTGACACTGCATTGTGTGAAGAATTGCAGATTGAATCTCTGTAGTCTGGCCCCCTCAGGACCTGACCAGTGCCAAATCCAAGAATTTGCCAGACTATGGGAGGTCAATATTGTCTAACAGCATTACCAACACTTCCACTGAATGTAGAGGCATTATGATATTTTCTATCTTCTGTAGCCCTTCCTTAATTATTCACAGCATTGTTTGCTTTTTTGGCTGCTGCTGCTGTTGCTACACATTGAGTTGGATGTCTTTTGAGAACTGTCCACAATGACTCCAAGATCTCTCTCTCTTGAGTGGCAACAGCTCATTTAGACCCATCATTTTGTATGTATAATTGGGATTATATTTTTCCCATGTGCATTACTTTGCATTTAACATTGAATGTCATTTGCCCTTTTGTTGCCCAGTCGCCCAGTCGTGTTGCAAAAAACTGAAAACTGGCAGAATATTATGACTGGCGTCCAGTATCAGGCTATTAGCTTGCAATTCTAGTCCCAAGGAACCATTGGAGCTAATGAAGGAATGGCAATGGCTTTATAGTTTGCTTTAAAGGGGATGCTTTTTAGCAGGTGCCAAGTGAGTATGTGGTGCGTAACTAGGTCCTAGTCAGAAAGTCGGACTGCCTTATCTTTTCGATTTATAAAGTGTGCCCTCCCCACGTTAGGTGGAGGTGTGTGTACACGGTTGAATTAATTCACATGTACATTTGCCTCTTAGTCCTCAAAGGTAGGAGATTCAGATTACAAGACCAAATGCAGTAAAATGTAAAGTGTTCTTTATTGCTCTAATCCAGCACTTCTTAAAGTGTGTTCCGTGACACACCGGTGTGCTGCAAGGCAGTTGGAGGTGTGCTGTGGAGAGAACAGAATTCAAAATAGCCACCATTAAAGGGACAAGCCTCCTTTTTATTTCCCCCTCAACAACTTTCCCTGGGGGCTTTTTTTCCCTTAACAAAAAAAATCCTTGGTGTTCCCCATTTTAAAAAAAAAAATTATTTGGCGTTCCTCCGTCTTAAAGTTACAAACTGCTCTAATCTGCATGCCGGCGATATTGTCAGCTTTGTGTTAAAATGTCCTTTTCTCTTAGTTGGGATGAATGACTGTCCCAGTTAAGGTACAGTACTTATGGCAAAGTCCATCGTTTCTGGCTCTTCTAGGGCGTAGTGGTTACTCTAGACAGCTACTTGCTGCAGTACTGAATGTCAGGGGGAAGTAGGAGACTAAAGAGCCCTTTCAAAGGACAGTGATGCCATACTGCCGTGCCATGACAATAGCTACAGAAAATGGCTTAGCAGTAGTTCTGCAGTTACCTGGAAGTCCCTTTGGAAACTATCTCTTTGTCTTTCCATTCCGCAGACTGAGGACTTGATCAAAGCCCTGCAGGACCTGGAAAATGCAGCATCAGGAGATGCCACAGTACGACAGAAAATTGCCTCATTGCCACAGGAAGTTCAAGATGTGTCACTGCTGGAGAAAATTACAGGTAAGAAGCTAGAAGATGAATGAAAATGAGCACAGAGGGATTTGACTTTCAAGTGACTGAGTAGGCTGGATGTACCTCCTGCCCTTTTATGCATGCCAGCTTTATAATGTCTTAACAGTTAGCAGGTAAAAACCTTCTGGCGTGCGGTTTGGAGGTAAGATTTACATCTTTCCTCCCATTCCTTGGGCCCAAACCAAAATGTATTTACAGGGATTGTTATACTTGGAGAGCATATATTCACTGTCCTTTCTTCAAGCTTAATTTTGTAGCTTTCTACAGAAACCAGAGCCAGAATTTTCAAACCGAGGTGCTGAGAATTAACTACAAAATATATATTCATGTCTATTAACTGGCATGACACTCTCTCTTTCCAGAGCTGAGTACCTACAGTTCCCTGGGACTGCAGTAAAAGGGTGCTCAGACTTCCAGATGTGCTGGCTACTTAGATTTGGGGGCATACATTTGAAAAATGTGGCTTAAGAACCTGGGAGCACATGAAAACAGAATTGATTTGACTCTTGTTTTTGCAAATATTCCCAAGTTTTAACTTTAGAACTGAGGACTGTCACTTAGCTGGCTGTTTACAGTGTGTGCTCATCGTGGCCAGCTGTAAGCAGGACACATACAAGCTTCTGTTCTGTACAGTGATAAATAGTCACAAGCATATGATCCATCATACAGTGCACGTCCTGCCTAAATGCTAGAGTCCCATTCTTTTAATGCCAGGGTTCTCAAACTGCATTGCACCACAACTCCCTTCTGAAAACAGATTACTACCTGACCCCAGAACGGGCCAACGCTTGAGCTCACCTGACCCCCGGAGGTGGGAGGGGGACGGACAAAGCCCAAATCTCACTGCCCAGGGCAGTGAGAAACCAAAGCCCAATGGACTCAGCCCAGGGTGATGGGGTTTGTCATTTGGCTTTGGCCCCCTGGCATTGGGGCTCAAGCTTCAGCCCCAGTAAGTCTAATACCAGCCCTGGTGACCATATCTCAAATGGTGGTTTGGACTCCGTTTAAAACTGCTGTGTTAATGGAAGCTAATAGTCTGGTGTACGTGCTCTGAAGTTATTTTTGCGACTGTTTTAAGGGTGTGCTAGTCCCCTAGCAACAATGGCGGAGCTACGGCGCTGCAGCACTACCAGGATGGCTGTCTACTGTAGACTTCCTTCAGCGCCAGAAGGGTTTTCCCATCAGCATAGCCAAGCCACCTTTCCATAAGGCAGTAGTGTAGTTGACGGAAAAAATCTGTCAGCATAGCTGCATCTGCGCTGCGGGTTAGGTCAGCCTAACTGTGTCACTTAGTGTATAAATTATTTCACAGCTCTGAATAACATCACTCGCTGGAGCTAGCTCAGACCTCACTAATGTCACAGCTGTAAGACTAAATGTGACCAACTGGTTCTGGGCTTTAAAATCTTCCATTTTCAGGTTGCTCGCCCTAGCCATCTTGGGTGCCCCTTAAGTCTCTTGATTACAACTCACTTTTTATAAACCCTGGATAACTCTTGTGAATGAAATGTTAATGTGCGTGTAATTGTTGATTAGAGACATTTTTGAAAGTATACAAGGTTTTTAACGGGCTGTGTACATTTTTTACCAACTTTCACACAGACAAAGAGGCAGCAGAACGTCTTTCAAAAACTGTGGATGAAGCATGTTTGTTACTAGCAGAATATAATGGGCGGCTGGCGGCAGAGTTGGAAGACCGACGCCAGCTGGCACGCATGCTGATTGAGTACACACAGAACCAGAAGGATGTGCTGACAGAGAAAGAGAAAAAGTTAGAAGTGAGTACTGCTCAGAACAATGCTGAACCTACCAACCACGTGTCCTCGCCTGCAAACTCAAACATTTTCTCTTTTCAATTAGAACGATGTGACGTAATGCAGCCAGTTAGTTCTCCCTGGAGCACTTTGCTGTTAAAAGAAAACAGACCTGAGGAATTCTTTTTCTGTAAATACATAAATTAAAAACTGAACTGCTGAACTCATGTCCAGCATGAGGGTAGGCGGAGAAGGAAGCTATAGAACAGAGGTGGGGAACCTCAGGCCCAGGGGCCGGATGTGGCCCCCAGCTCACCTGGATCCAGCCCCCAAAGCTCAGGGCCCTCCCCTCGAGCATTGGGGAGCCCGTGCTGGCGCTCCAGCCTCCGCTTCCTATCAGAGAGCTGGGGCATGCAAAATCTGTTAGACTGTGCCCTGTAGGCTCTGGTGTGTGAGGGGAATGTGGGGAGTGTCGTCTCCTCAGTCAGTGGCCACATCAGTGAGGTTTGGGGGGGGAGGGGTTGTTTTAGGTTTGGTTTTTTCCACTTGTTTGCTGCCCCAGACTGTGGTGGGTGGGTGTGGTGTGGTTTGTTTGGTGTGTGGTGGGTCCTTTTTGTGGGTCAGCGGCCCCCGACCAATAAAAGGTTCCCCACCCCTGCTATAGAGCATAAATCTATCTTTTGAGAGAGAGAGTGGTTTATAATCCAACACTTTTGTGCAGTCCATGTTCATTTCAGGACTTGTTCTTGAATGAAATACCTGTCCCAAGAAGACATCAAGTGTTCGTGTACTCCTGCCTGCCTATAATAGATGCTTTTTGTATACAGGCAGTCCCCGACTTACGCGGATCCGACTTGTTTCAGATCCGCACTTAAGAACGGGGCTTTTCTCGCCCCGGAGCTCGCGGGCGGCGGGACCGCCCAGAGCGCAGTGGTCCCGCCACCGCGTCCTCCGGGGCGAGAAAAGCTGCTCCGGGTCTCCCTGGTGTGCTGGGGGGGACTCCCCCAGCACAGCAGGGAGACAGGAGCAAAGCCACAGAGGCAGTGGGACCTCTGCGCCTCCGCGGCTGTGCTCCG